CGGTATCTGTAAATGTATTATGGCCGTGCCCCTTCAACGGGCCACACGGTAGATGCGCTCCCAACGCGACTTCTGGAGAAGAGAATACGCGAGTACATACCAGCGTGGCTCAGCAAAGGAGAGAATATATCGATCTCACGCTCAGTCTTCGCCCACCTAATTGATAAGGACCACCAAGTGGACACGAGAGAAGCCTTTCGGGTCATATACCGAACGCCAACACAGTACTCCAAAGGCCTGTGCAAACGGGTGTGAGCCACGGCAGAGGCAGTAGCAATCCTCAACCCGTTGACCGTGAGAACACCCTCTTCCCTGTCTTCTCTGAGCATCACAACCAACGTCCTAAACGCCCTGGCGCCCACAATCACGAGGCGAGGGAAAACCCACATGCTTAGTATCACCCACCCACCCAACCAACCTCCTTCCCCCCGTCAACCTGACGATCATACAAACGCTGCAATTAACTGACCATTTTAATTCTGCATGTCACTCTACCGATCTGATGATGAATGGCTGAAAACAAGTATTTGCCAATATGACTTTTCAATCGTAAAATGAAAATTTTCGCAGAACTAAAAAAAGTGACGTATGGGGAGAAGAGCAGGCTCACACCGCGCCAACTGACTGCGCCGGATATCAACTCCAGTGTTCTTGACTTTGTAATGACACTGGATACTGGTAGGTGAGTCGGGAAAGAGTGTGGTAGAGGTTGCGCGAGCCTAATGTCAGTGTAAACTAAGTCACGCGCAAGTCCCCGTTCCAATGGTCACCATGCATACGGTCGGCTTCGTCGTACTATGGCCAAACGACCGTCTTTTCTTGGATTTTTAAAGAAAACTTTTCAAACTCTGAGCATATTAGCAATTGCAGTACACGAATGTTCTTGTCTAATACAGTTTACTCGCAAGGGTGATTAAGTATATTCGTAGTCCACTGCAGGAATTCAGTGATCACTGAAAAAGTAGACCTTGACCTTTCCAAATAATACAACTGAATTAACTTTCCATTTGATTATACAAGTCGGAGATGGTTCCTAAATAGACTTCATGGTAGCCCATTAAACCGGCCTGTGACGCAGATAGCATGCATATTTTAAAGATAAATAGTAGAAGAGCTCATTCGAAACTCGCTGCACCTCTCTATTCGAGTCAACTTGTGACAGGCAAGCTTCCGGTCTGGCATCACACCTTCAGGAAACTTTCAATTTAAAAAGTGGTGTAAGCACATTAGGTGTCCGCGCGCTAAGTTTATTTTTCCAGGGCACCGGTAAGGTAGTGGCGCTGCTAAGGCGTCGAGGGTGTTTTTATGTTGGCACTGTAGACCAGGCTGTTGGCCTGCATGAACTGACTTCCTGTTCTCCAGTTGCCAAAATATCGAAATGTTTGAGGTAAATAGTACGGTGTTATGTCAGAGCTTTGACTTACTTCAGAGATGAAATTGCAACAGGGTTTGAGGCACATTGTCGATATTTACTTGCAACAAGCAATAAAACAACCCAACTTTGGAGTATCATTTTGGATTGTTTATAGAAAAAAAAGACTTCTTACTTTAATATAGCATTAACAACATTCGGTCAACCAATTTTTAACTTTTTTAAAAACAGAATTTTGCCTAGAATCCCACTGGGATATCAGTTTTCTCCATGAAACACTGACCAAAGTATGTATGGTGTCACGAGGCAGGTTAGGAGGCATGTGTGAGCCCTATGAGCTATGCAATCAAGGCTTTCGAAGTTGTTTGTAGAGATTGCCTATATTCTTACCTCATCCGACAAGACACTGGAGCACGAACCACCCATAATACAGGTGGCCTTGCGCTAAATTCCAGTAATATATTAGTTCGGGTTAAGGTTAGGATTACGGTAAGCTTTAACGTTAAGGCACAAACTGGGGTAAAAGTTAGGATGTGGAAGAAGGAGAGGACTGGTGTTGTGGTTATGGCAAAGTTAGGGTTACAGTCACAGTGTAGGCTAAGACACGGGGAGATTTAACAATCCCGGAATTAAGAGTTAGACCATCTATATAGCCGGAGGGACTTTACTATTCAAGTGTCCTGCCTGAGAGGTCGTATTAGCCAGTCCGAGCATCATGTTCTAAGTGGACCAACGCAAAATGATTTAAAAAGCGATATAGTCAAAAGCATCCCAGCATGGTTCAGCTTACGGCAACGTTCGGGGATCTCATCAGAACCATCGGGACAGTCGGGAACACCATTGCAGAAAAGGGACTCCTCAATGCAGGTGGCTCCGCCACAGGAGCGCTGACCCGGACCGCACGCGTCCTGCACCACGATCTTTGCTTCAGCCTTCCGGAACTACGCGTGGAAGTTAACAAAACAAAACGAGCATTAGTAGACAGGACTAACGCAATCCGCTTTCCAGGCCCATCCCAACTTTAAAAAGGCTGACCTTACTGAGAATAATTAAGGATTAGGAGCATGGTTTTAATCCAGGGCCTCATACACCAAACGTGGATTAAAGGTTAAGATTAGGTGAAACTCAAGTGAGAAGCATGCTTCGTTAACTTGTCTGGCTTTCAATCCTTTCCCAAATTCTCTTCAATCGACGACCTTTTCAGCTCTTTTCTTACAATCTCAGCAGTAATTTAGTACGAAAAGACGTCTTAAGTCCCCTTTTCTATTGTGACAGCGAGTACATTATTGGTATATGCACAGTCTCTGCTGCAAGAAAGTCTGTAGCTGGAATGTAGTGACAATCAATGGTTGGTTCGTATCGGTCTAGACATTGTACGACGCTGGTTCCCAGGTCACCCAAGTATTAGACTGTCGGATTATTCGATTTAACCGTAATCTACGTTCCTATCGTTTTTCATGTTTCAAAACAATTTATGCGATATACTGGAAGGCAGGCATCCCGAAGAATGTAATTTCAAGGAAAGGCGCTCTTTCCCAAAGGAAGCATTGCCTTGAACTTTGTACGATAGTGAGAACAAACCATCGATCCATTATTTTGATAGGTCCCGTGGTAAGCCAATCAGTACTCGTGGAAGCGTTGTATCCAGTCGCAGGTCTCTATCTCTAAAGTACATTGTGTAGTTCGGACAGACAGCGGTCTGGTTCTTCCTTTTTGACAGGCTGGCCAGCAGGAGCTTTTTGGACTGATTATGTTCATGAACGTACTAAAACTGGGCATTTCCCAGATTTACGGCCGGATTTTACATTCTCTGGACCTCTGCGGTAAAACTGGAAAGCACGTCCATTCACTAAGGGTCCACACATCGAAGTTAGCTAGCGCTTTATAATCACTTTCTTCTGAGCCCATTAAAATGGAGGCAAGTTAGATTCCGAAAGTTCCCAGTTAGTGTGAAGGAGCCTTTGATAAGTCGAAATTATTTTTAAGGATAGGGCATTATCTTAGCCTTTGGAATGTCGAAATTATCACAGAGCAGAAGCTAGGCGTGATTTAACAAACCCTAAAAGAAATCAGCGTACGTGCACAGTGCGCTTACACCATAACGAAAATGAAATCGTCATGGAAAAATTAATCACAGACACGAAGTTGAGTAGCTGGCCTTGATGTTTGGGGCAGCAGATAATAAAATGTACAATTTGATGAATCCTAATGGCAAATGCGACTAAGTTTAGAGCTGCCATAGAACGCAAAGAAATAGTGTCCTATAAAACCGTATTTGTAATAGAACTTTTGAATGATCCAGCAAGTCTCGGAATATAACATTTCTACTGCACGAGAAAGGAGACGTCCCAATGAGTCTTCAAAAGGGAACAAAGTTGACCCATTACTTCTGGAGTGTATCGGTGGAACTTCTAAAGGACTTTCTTAGACGGCGTCCTAAAATTTATCAAAGTTAGGTGTAGACCTTTGCAAACCAAAACAATGTGGACGAAAAAGGGTTGGTTTGAAAATAAAGATATCTTCTCTGCGTTTTGACTCTTTTTCCCAAAAAATTCCGATATTTCCTACTAAGTGAGTTTGACCGCGTTTATGCTACTTATGGTAAATGCTTTCGTCACCTAGATACCCAAATGTCTACTAAGCCTTTCCTAAATCAACAGCGCAAATACGTTAAATCCACGTCATTTCGCGTTTTAAGTGATAATTAAAAATAACGCTCGCTTCAGTCTACAAGTACTGGAAAAATGCGAAGTCCATTAAAAGCAATGCGAGGTGCTTACTCCATCTGTGCAAGTGTAGACTACGTCATTATAGCTCCAGTCAAGCTGCTTCACCACAAGGACTGCGACATTGCTTCCGCGAGTTCCGGACACAATTTCTTCCCGACCCGGCGTCAGGGCCTTTCGATCGTTGCGATACCAGCTGACTTTGGTAGAGCCTTCTCTAGGGGCACGGCCGTCGGCTAGGGTAACCGAGCAGAAGAATCGAACAGTTGAACCCGGGCGAGCTGTCACCGACTCTGGATTTGTCTTAACCTCTGAAAATGTTGGTCGAAAAACACGCTTTTTACGACTGCATATGAAGACTTCTAAAGAAGATAAACATAAATTGGTTAATGATCCCATAATTTTCCTGTTTAAAGTATGTGCCACCTTTGTGTGGCTACATTATCCGGCTCCCGTTGGAACATGCTGTCCTGAGTTCTGGATCACAGGACATGCAGTGCCAGAAAATAAATGGAAAAATAATTAATGATTGTCATTTAATGCAACTCTGAATAACTTTATTTTAGATGCATTTGACCTAACGACATTAAAAAGCCTTATTTGGCAGAAGAAAGCAGGCGAGATCTGCACATACTTTACAAAATACTCTCTTTTTCAAGTGCAGACTGATTTTACATTAAATTCAAAGCATATTATTAACCATTCGTCTGACCCTAAATGTGTGTCTTACAATATGCTCCAAAATAGTTCTTTACTAGCTTTCGAAATGTTCACTCACTTCTGTCTTCAATGACAAGTCGTCCAGTGCTCTGCTTATTGGCGATACGGCAGCTATATTGTCCGGCATGTTGAGCCTGCGGATTCTCAATGACCAAGACAGATGTGTCGGGGGTCTCATTGGGCGTGGTGATGACGCTGTCCCCTTCAACATCCCGCTCCTCCCCCGCGTCATCTGGAATAAAAGTCCACCTAACTAATCTGCCACCGTTTTCTATGCCCGTAACGCGACAGTGAAATTCGGCTCTGTCGTAGATGCCTGCGGAACGAAACACGTCCTTCGGTTCTAATTCAATGTTGATTTCTTCTGAAAAAAAGAAGAATAGATCGTCTTTAAAGGCTCCTTAGCTGCTGTAACTGTTACCGTCTACTTACGTCTGAAATTTAGTCGCTGTTTTCTCTTATATATGGAAATCAATGTCTAGTTATCTGACAGTAAATTGTTTTATTTGTCTAGTCCTACTAACTATTGGAGATTTTGCTTACTATGTCTTTAGCTCCTAAACATCAGCTACATTCTCGTAATAGATGCTCAAGCCATGAATTATGAAATCCATATGTTTCGCTCGTTTGTAATAGTAGCCTTGGGGGACATTCTCTGTGAGCAATCTGGCTGGATGATAAACGCATTCTCTCTACCCCTCTCAGTTATAAAAAGTTAAATATGGACAGGATTGTTTCATTAGAAAACATATCTGACAAATACACTGGATGTCCTTAGCGGCAAGACAACTTTAAACTCAAAATAGTGCTGATTTCCGGTATTTGATGCTGTAAAAGTAATTAAACTATAAGACTAAGGTCACTTTGATTTCGTAAGTCTGATAGTATCGCCTATATTAGAAACAAAATTGCTGTATACCTGGTCAAAATATTATCATATTCAACCTAGGGAAGAAGTTCGTCTTTGAGCTGCGATTATTGAGGTATATATACTAACTATATACGTGCTACAATTGTACATCCAGGGGAACCTACCTGACACTTGTTAAATTTATTTATGAAGATATAATTTTAATATCTTAGGAATAACCACATGTGGAATTAAAATAACAATGCCTGCAAGTGTTCAGTTAGGGATCACCATGAAGTATATGGAGTGGGGACGGACGAATCAGTACGAATAGCTAGCAGGGTCATTACAGTCCTGTCTCCAGTCTTGCAAACGTATTTACTCTGATCGGAAGTCGAAATGTCGTCGAAAATCTGGATGCTTATGTTCGAGTAATCCACCCTCAGTACCTGATCTCTGGAGAAAAAAACTTGATGCCACAGCAAACATACTCCACGGAATTAGACTTACGGATTTTGCTAGTAAACACCTCTCAAAGTGTCACGTAGACCTTAGTGGCGATTTAATTAGCCAAAAATCGCACAAATTGAAAACTAACAGTGTCTAACTTCTAGTCCGGAAAGATGAGTAACTGGTGGAAGAAAAGTATGCAACTCCATCAACCCTCAAGTTTTGCAGAAGTACCTTTTAGCCTGTTACGAGCGAAATTCATCGTTTTGGTATACATTATTACCGAGTCTCAGTATAAAGTGACTGATTCGAATAGGTAATAGTACGGTGTGGCAATCAATTCGAAGTCAAATGAAAGAGGACAGTATGTTGGCTTTTGTCTAAGCACCTTTCTGTGACAGAATGCGAATTACTCCCTTAAAAACCAATTCACAAAAAACTAAATTTTTGCTTGTACCCTAATGTTGGTGGTGATATAATCGCCTGTTCTAGATATCACACAGGAGGAATTTCACTCCAGTTACTTGTGCGTAGAAGGTTATATATTTTAAAATGAGATATTCCTAATTAGGGACCATTAGAGTTAATCAAATTTTAACACTTATGAGATAGGGTTTGCCGTTTGGATATCTATTCCTGACGTCTACTTTCACTATACTCAGCAATTTTACTCGCAAAAGTGCATCGTATGATCGATATACGTCCAACAAACCGGTACATTACTCGGAAAACATTAACAGATAATTGATTTTCCTTGAAGAAAATACAGAATAGATCATTTGGAAATCTTAGAAGCAGGCAAATATACGCTACTGGTTAAAATTATTAAAAGCAGCAATATTTTATCCTCTAAATTATTATTTCTGTCAAAAAAGTTGTTTTTCTTTGAAAATTTTAATTAAAATAATAGTCTACTAATCATAATTTAAATAATAAACATCGAAACTAATTTGTTAACACACTATTCCCGAGGAAATGCTTTTCTACGTATTTCACAGGTAGCTGGTAAGAGGATAAATAAAGTAACTCCATAATACTGTACATGAATTGATGGGTAATGTGCGGCATACTAATCACCTCCTATTGGAAAGCATTTCTAAAAGTAATCTTAAAGTTTTAAGCCTCCTTACCCTCAGTGTTGCGTCGGCGACGCTGTAGAAGGGCATCCGAGGGACTTTCTAGATACGTGTGCATTCTTGGCGTGCGACCCTCCACCCAGCAGAATATCT